GAAAACATTTGAGAACCATTGGTTTAGGTCAGTGCAGATCTCGCGATACCATATGTGACTATGTGATATTCAGTATGACCATATTAATGTGAACTAAACATCTGCAGTAGGTATGTGATTATTTCTTTCAAATCAAATGAACCAAAGCTAGGCACTCTAGGGTCGAAGACTGTGGCACATAATCTCAGTGCTTTTGAAATGGCTGGTTTGAAGGCGGGGCTAGGACTTTGACCACTCAGAGCAGCGGCTGATGTTGCTGCATACGCACAGAATAGAATATATTCTACTTATTGCAAGGTATGTCCTTTTATTTGGCGTTTCAGTCCAAGGAATGCAACCTGACATGTGAGCCCTCACATGCAATGTGGCATCAAAAGGAAGGATGAGGTGAAACTGATTACAAACGTGAGAAATTCAGTCTCATGTGTTCTGTCCTGATCCTTCACTTTGCAGGAGCACTTGTCAGCGAGCTGCTCAATTACTGTCCGGTCTATTTACACTGTATTAACACCAAGGAGCCGGAAAGGATGAGAGGCAGGAATGTTAGAAAATTGGTTTTATAGTGTGAGGGAAAAAGAGCGACTCTGTAATTGGAAGATTTTGAATAGATTATCTAAATTCACTTTGTAGAAAATGGTTAAACTAAGGGAAGCAGCTTCACTGGTTGCAGGTATTAAGATGGCAAAACTCAGTCAGAAGTAATGATTGTAAAAATTGAAAGAACAACTCTTATTTCGTAGCTGGAGCGAAAATGCGATCGGCGCAAAAAGCCGAGCGAGGGTACAGACTGATCCGATCAATTTGATTGATGTTAGCAGGTTAACATTAAGCACTGTGAGCCCCTCTGCTGAGTTTTTTCAGATGTTTGGCCCAGAATGAGCGTCATTCACGGTGCTGACGAGTGCAGTCATCACGGTGAAGACATACATGCACTCTTTTTACCCCCTGGGGATGTGTGTTTGCATTGGTTCGTATAGTATGTGTATGCCGGTATGCGTTTAAAGATGAGCGCACGTGCACACACACTGTCAGTTGCACACATTCCAGCGTCATGGTCAAACGACTTGTCTTTCACACAGTTCATTCCTTAAAAGCAGTCTGTCCTGCTGGAACTGACAGCATATGGAAAACCTGTCTAAATGAGTCCACACATCAATTACATCAACGCATTCTCACCTCCTCGCTTGTCTGTCTTTCCCACATCTCCCCATTCATCACGTCTCTGCACTTTTTATTCAGTCCGTTCCATCATTTCAGCTTCGTCTCCTGGTTCTTTCTCCTTTCAATGCTTTTATTTTGCTGTTTTGTTATTATAAAAAAAAAGTATTACTGGAGATTTCAAGATGGAGTACAAAAGCAGAGTTTTAGCCGAGTTTTGTTGATGTGATGATTGACACTGTGAGGATAATGAGCATGGCTAAGTTTCTCTAAGATGGTTCTCGTTTACTGTCTTCATCAGCAGGCCTGCATTAAAACATTGTCCTGGGCTCTGTTGGTGGGCGTGTGTTGTGCCAAGTAGCAATAAGCAATGAAATACAATCCATGGTGTCTATTTGATGACTGCATTTGTGAATTTTAAGATCTATCATGCTCGGACTCTGTGGGTTTTTTCAAATTATTTTTCCCTTTTCTTTATTCTCCTACATGTTTTGGCTGTTAGCTGGAGAACTTGAACTTCATCTTGTGATGTTTGCACTTGCTTTCTTTCGAATGGGACATTATGATGACTTATTTAATTTTTGCATTTAAGGAGTGGGAAGGTGACGTTTAAGGCTTTATATGCTGGCTTTATAGACAGCTAAGGTGAATGATTGTGGTTGAGGGTTAGATTAATCAACAAAGGTTATATTTTTGTTATGTCTGTAGAAAATACAAATAAATAAATAATATTAATGCTTTCTGTCACATTCATCTGTAAGTTAATTTGTCCTTTTTGGCAAATGAGGTCAACTCAGACTGTAAGTGTTACACACTTACAGTTACACAACTAATTGTGATTTTTGGCTGATGTGGTGATTTGGACATTTCATTCTTATAAATGCTCTTTATTGTGACGCCTGTGCCTGCATTTTGTCCTGCAGTGGTGTCTGAACACCATCAGGATACGTTGGGTTTTGTTTAGAAATGTTCAAGTCAACAACAAACGAGGGATCTAATTATCAAATTAGCATTCCCATTGGGGTAGTTTATCTTTAGTTGCATTTGAATTTCCATGAGTTTTACTATGTCATGATTTATATCCTGCTGATTTTATAGTGTATTTTTTACTTTTTTGTCATTTTCCAACTTGAATTTTAGCGTCTGATGCAAATAATTTGGCTTGAAACGGCTCCTTTGTCTGATTATGTGACACTCGCATTGTTATCTTTATTTCTGATAATCCTCTGCTTCGTAAAATCATATTACCCAAGGAAAAAAAACGTGTTGCTTCAAGTTTTACTTTTAATGATTCAAATATGGGAGGAATCTTTGCTGCAATTTCACACGCCTGTTTTGGTGCTTTTTTTTTTTTTT